TTTAGCTGCTTGGCTCTTTGGTTACGGGCACAGGCAATTTGAACGTACATTAAAGCTGCTTGGGCCATATGCTTGGAATTGTTAAAATACTTTTTGACAACAGAATCCGGAATCGCATGTTGCGCTGCACCTTTGACCGCTGCTCGATCAGCAGCATCATTGCCATCTTTCTGAAATTGAAGAAAAAGGCCAGCGTCAACTAGATCTTGAGAAATGTGACCTTTAGTCCAAGAGATCTTTAGTGGGTGGTATCGAAGAGACAAAAGTATTTGGATTCTTTTCCACAAATCTATGTGTTCGCCGTCCACGGGAGCAACATGCCATTCAGTAGATTTTGCATCTGGTCCACAGCATAGCTGCTGTCACTGAATATCTCAATTTGCAGGCTGCCAAGATTGCCCGAACTTCCGCTCGCTGTGCAGATTGCTCAGATCCAGAAAGAGGCTGGGACACAGTTCGAGAGTGTTAAAGTTTGAGGTCCTTATCAAATGCTACCCCAAAACCTGCTCTTCGAAGACAGGGAATCGATTGATGGGTACATGCCCCATCAGCGAATGCAATCACAAATTTTCCTTCACTGTCTCCATGCACAAATCGCTTGTAGACAAGGGAATCACAATTTCGCGCTCGTCCTCAGAGTCCTCAGGATCTGGCAAAGTGGTTACCTCCAGAGGGAGCAATGGGATCGCACAAACTTTTTCACATGGCAATGCCCGCTGCAACCAATCTAACGAGACATCAGGGAATTTTAGTCGAATGTGTGACCATGCAACACAAGAAAGGAAGATGTGTTCGACATCCTCTTCAACCTGGCCACAGAAAGGGCATGTAGGATCCGAGGCCAAACCGGCCCTGCAGAACTGCTTGGCAGAGCGAAAACCCCCTGCTAAAATTGCAGAAAACGTACCACGCTGGTAATCATTAAACTTACGCAAGATACGATTTAAAGTGTGACGATCAACAGAACGAGAGCCAATTCCACGAAGATCCAGCCTTTTATCAGCGGCTTTCAAACTCGCCTCTCGAAGTGCTTCACGAATCTGATGCTGAAAGAAAGCACGAGAATGCTGCAGCCATCTGAAAGGGGGTCTATTTGGAGAAATAAAAATTTCAAACTGAGGCCAGGTCCAACCCAAAAGTCCAAAGCCCGTTTAGCGGAAGTAATTGGGCCAAACTTAGACTTGGTGCAAGGAGATTCCCACAAAGATCGGATTAGCATGACAAGATCAGGGCGACGAAGGCACATACGTCGAAGCTGCCTGAGACAAAGATGTGCCCATGCAGCTGCAGGGTCTACTCTGTGTACCGGGTGTAATAAACTTAAAACCACGTCTGCTGGAACGAGAAGACCGCTTGCGCCAGACTGCCCGAGTGATAGCACTACGAAGCTTGCCAAGTTCCGGAAAACTGGGTGCGGAAATTTCACTCGAATAAGAACTTTGGGCAAGATTTTGGTCGCGCAAACCTGCCCCCTATCAGTCCTAGAGATATTAAGCTGGACATATTATTGGCAATTCGTATGGCATCACAAATGCGTTGAGAATAATGAGAAACAGTTCGAATGTTGGATGAACAAAGCTGAGCACCCAGACTCTTGATGTCCAAGAATACATTAAGCAGGTGACCATTTAAAGAAACTTTGCGCAACGCATCACGAGAGTTCTTTAGCGTGGCCCAGGCCATTGTCTTCTTTGCTGCAAGTTCCTGGCCAGTGATTGTAGCAAATTCACCAGTGATGTTGCAGGCACGCTTTGCAGTCTTAATATCTTTAGCTAAGACCATTGAGTCATCAGCAAAGGCTCGAGGCAAAGCGCTGGTCTCAGCTTCAATCGCGCGAGCACAGACCGAGATTATCAAGTTCATAAAAACTACGCTTAGGGAGCACCCTTGCAAGATGCCACACGCAAAACGAAAGGCAGGACTGACTCCCCCTGGTACCCGAAAATAGCTCTGCAAATTGGTGTACATGTGTTTCATAACTTGGAGCAGGTTTGGGCAAAAACCCAGGTGTTCGGCAATGCAAAGAGAATATTACGTGGAATGAGGTCAAAAGCTTTCTTATAGTCGAAATGAACCCCTATAAGTGAAGTGCCTGCAAGAAGAGATTCCTCTATTTGCAAGGAGATATCATAGAAAACATCGTCCGTCGAATGGCCCGGGCGGAAACCAAACTGAGAATTGTGGAGAACCTGCTCTTGCCATTGGATTACATCCCGCAATCGATAGGCGCAGAATAGTCTGTATAGCACACTCATGATACCCAGCGGTCTTTGACAGAGCGGCGAGGTGTCTCCCGGCTCCTTAGGAATGAGAGCACAAAATCCGTACAGCATAGCTTCAGGCCACTGCTGCTTTTACTCGATAAGTTCAAAGGCTGCAGGTAACAAGAAAAATATGCTGTCTGGAAGGTTGGTCAAGTCAGACACGGACCAGAAGTCCGGTCCCGTTCCACTACGGATGTTCATCTTTTTCATTTTTTTTCTGAGCCCATTCGTGGTAAATGGTCGCAGGGACATTTTACATGGGTTTTCGAAATATTGATGGTATCGCTCATAAAAGGTTGCCCAAAAGGGCTTGGATTGGTTGGAAAATTTGTCAAAAATCGGCATCCAGGCATCGAACAATAATTGAGAAAAATCACCGTAATTACCTGTGAGGTCACCGCTGGGAGTCCGTAAAAGAAAAGTTGGATTCACAAGCTGAGGATCCACTTTAGAGTAAACCACTGAAGGATTAGTTTTCCAATTTTGCCTAAGCTTAGCTTGCGCTGTTTTGACTCGACGTTAGGTCTCTCTGGCCTGCACATTACGAACAAGATCTTGCACTTGTTGGAGCAGTTTATCCAAAATATCCAGCGAGGGAAACTCCTGGGTAGAGAAAACTACGGAGAAGCTTTGCAAAAATCTGTGATTGGTACAGATGTTTTTCCAAAACCGCGATGCCCGCCAGGAAAGAAAGGACTCCTTTGAGCAAAAATGACGCAGCTGTTCAAGTCTCCTCAAAAGACGTTTGAGCCGTCGCAAAGGAGCACTTTCACACCCCTCACCATTTTTTCCTTGCGGACAGAACCTGGGCTCGAGTACTAAAGCGGGTACCTTACCACGACCAGAAAATCTCTGACGAGTAACATCTGCAGCCAGGAGCAAATATTCCTCAGCAACCCGGGAGAATTATATGCTTGATTAACATCTTCAAAGTTCAAATCGCCTGCTTTTGCTAAAATTGATTCAGAAAGTTTTGGTTGGTGAGGCATATTTGTGGGAAAAGATGCTGGCTTTCGAATGCGAGGAATAATTTCATTAAGCTCGGTTAAGTGAAACTCAGCAGCTATAGGCAGATGGCCCGGAAGACCAGATGATTCAACATTATTGGCGGTCAACAAAGTTGTTGCCGCCGACGGGCAGCTAGGATGAGGTCTAATCTTCGTGGTTGACCATGGGATGGTAAAAATGTTGGACCACAATTTTCACCCAAATCCAAAAGGAAACCTTTGGAGATAGCATCAACAAGAATAGGGCTGTCTGACGGATCGATATTGAAGTCTCCCAAATTATGAAAAGAACGCCTCATTCAACACAGCAGCTCGAGAGTGAGTGATACAAGCTGTGGCCGAGTGTCCAAGCTTCCCACATGCAAAAAAAACATGTTTTTGCCAAATGGTCTGAGACCCCCGAAAAGATACCCAACTGTCGCTTGACCAGATGAGCATAGCTCCGAGAAATCAGAAAGACATCAAGTGCGTAGAACTCATGGATGAAATTATGCATCCAGGTGCCGCGCGCGCTGGAAGCATGAAAGGAATCTAAATGACATAGCTGCGTGCCACGGAGAAACTCTTTTAAGATCCGGCGGCCTGCAGTGGTAGCAGGAGAAGCGAATCCATGCGATTCCAACACCTCAGGTTCGGCATCACCGGCCCCAATATGGCCATTAAAATCTCCAGCCCAAATCTGAAAGGATGACACGCCCAAGCATTTCAAGTGAAGCTGCTAAGCTTTGTGGTAGTGCAGGTGAAGTGCAAGTATAGCCCATGCATTTGCAAGCCCAAGGCCAAAAGCCTGTCGCTGCCATATTGTTCCCACAGCCTTGCAACTGCTGCCTTTATAACGAAACCAACACGCCCTCTGAGCACAAAGAAAAATAGTCTTCGATGTACACAACTTCAAGAGCTTCAGGCGCCGAGAAATGCAGGCAAATCAGACAAGAAGGTAGCATCAGCGCCATGCATCCTGAGACACCTTAAGTATCAACTGCTGCAGCTTGGGTCGATGGGAAAGTTTGCTCCACAAGGGACCCTGCAAATTCACCGTGCATAGCTTCAACCCATGGGAAGGCCGAAGTTCAAAACATCGACAATGAAGACGTCGATGACGAAGTCCAGTTCGGCCGCAAGGAGTCCTTGAGTCAACATTGTGACCGATCACAAAGGGAAGGCCTTGCGGTTTGGCAGACGCACGGCACGAGCACTCGTGGGCCAGCTTTTTTCCTGAGACCGGCTCACCCCGCGAAACCGGTGGTGTTCAGTAACTGCTTGTGTCACCGCAAGCCAACACTCTGAATCCCTTCCCGGCTTGCCGAAGCTGGAGCCACATGACGGGGAAGCGGAATCTATCTACCTATCAGCATCCTTTTATCTATGTAACTATGTATGACCTGGTCCCTGCCCTCCTGCCCACCCCACATAACCCCGCCACCACCTCCAAACCCTGGCACACCCCACACACCCAACCCACCCTCCCGCCCCACCCTCCCATACCACAGCCACAACCACGGGGGAGGGGGGAGGCTGCAGGGGCCAGGTCACGTATGTATATACATATATAAACATTTACATTGTCACATATATACGATTACAGTATATTGTATAGCTACTTACTTGTATAGTTATGATGTTGGCAAAGTCAATCCTCATGTATCTGGAAAAACCCAATCAACACTGCAGCACCCCACATGGTTTCGTACAAGTACACGCAGTCATTCTTGGCCTTGGCTGTTGCTTGTCAGTCCTGGAAGAACATGCCGATGATAGCCATCATGGCCAACCTGCCGTTGGCGAGCTCTGCTGACAACTTCTTGGTCTTCTCTTCAGGATCAGAAGAAGTCAACACCTTGAAACCGTAGTCACCAGGGGTGCCGGTCTTGTAGTCATCGAAGCCACCGCTGAACTCGACAAAGCCGAAGTACGCAGCGATCTGGGCCCATCCAGCCACTGGTACCTTGGAAACTGCTGCAAGTCCATTGGGGATGTCGGCGAACTTCAGGCCGGCAGATGGAGACAAGAAACCAGGCCTCAGTGTGACAAAATTCTTGCGCATCCAAAATCTGACAAGACTTATTTTCGATTCGTTCCTCTCAACACCACTGCAGTTTGATACTCAGCGTCGTCTTAAGTTTCGGACAGCTTGCCAGTGACCTCAGGGGTGATGTATCCTCGGGAACAAGACGTTGTACACTCAAAAAACTCAGCCAAGTGGTCGCCAATTCAACATTGGGATCGTACTGTAAGCAGAACAATGCTCAAAAAGTCTCAAAAGTCTCCTATCCAGTTGTCTTGATGTATGTTGTGCACACGTCGGTATGTAATTTTTTTTTGTACTGACATGCAATATCAAACATGTTCTTTCACATCGTCACAAAAAACTCGTTCGCACCATTGCAGTCAAAGCACCCATGGTCGCCATCATGGAGATTCGTCCGTGCTTCAATTCCACAGATCGGCGGCGCTTGAAAGCAGCCACGTCACCATCGGCAGTGAAACCTACAGGGTCTCAGAACCCAACTGGCGCCTGCACACCGAGTTCGTTCTCGAAGGCAGTGAGCGCAACCTCAAGTCATTGGCTGCTAGCGGCTGCTAGCGAGGCGACTATAAGTGGTGGTTTCTTATCTTCAAAGAAAAAAGTGTGTGTATGTATAAATTTACATACATACACACACATATATATATATGTATGTGTATATATATATATATATTTATTTAATTGTTCATTTATTTAATTATTTAAATAATCTATCTACCTACCTACCTATCTATCTATTTATCTATCTATCTAATCTATCTATCTACCTATCTACCTCTCTACCTATCTACCTATCTACCTATCTACCTATCTACCTATCGATCGATCGATCGATCTATCTATCGATCTATCGATCTATCGATCTATCGATCTATCGATCTATGGATCTATCGATCTATCGATCTATCGATCTATCGATCTATCGATCTATCGATCTATGGATCTATGGATCTATCCATCTATCTATCTATCTATCTATCTATCTATCTATCTATCTATCTATCTATCTAATCTATCTATCTATCTAATCTATCTAATCTATCGAATCTATCCAATCTATCCGATCTATCTAAGCTATCTAAGCTATCTAAGCTATCTATCCTATCTATCCTATCTATCCTATCTATCCTATCTATCTATCTATCTATCTATCTATCTATCTATCTATCTATCTATCTATCTATCTATCTAATCTATCTATCTATCTATCTATCTATCTATCTAATCTATCTAATCTATCTAATCTATCTAATCTATCTAATCTATCTAATCGATCTAATCGATCTAATCGATCTAATCGATCTAATCTATCTAATCTATCTAATCTATCTAATCTATCTAATCTATCTAATCTATCTAATCTATCTAATCTATCTAATCTATCTAATCTATCTAATCTTTCTAATCTATCTAATCTATCTAATCTATCTAATCTATCTAATCTATCTAATCTATCTAATCTATCTAATCTATCTAATCTATCTAATCTATCTCATCTATCTAATCTATCTAATCTATCTAATCTATCTAATCTATCTAATCTATCTAATCTATATAATCTATCTAATCTATCTAATCTATCTAATCTATCTAATCTATCTAATCTATCTAATCTATCTAACCTATCTAATCTATCTAATCTATCTAACCTATCTAATCTATCTAATCTATCTAATCTATCTAATCTATCTAATCTATCTAATTTATCTAATCTATCTAATCTATCTAATCTATCTAACCTATCTAACCTATCTAACCTATCTAACCTATCTAATCTATCTAATCTATCTAATCTATCTAATCTATCTAATCTATCTAATCTATCTAATCTATCTAATCTATCTAATCTATCTAATCTATCTAATCTTCTAATCTATCTAATCTATCTAATCTATCTAATCTATCTAATCTATCTAATCTATCTAATCTATCTAATCTATCTAATCTATCTAATCTATCTAATCTATCTATCTATCTATCTATCTAGCTAATCTAGCTAATCTAGCTAATCTATCTAATCTATCTAATCTATCTAATCTATCTAATCTATCTAATCTATCTAATCTATCTAATCTATCTCATCTATCTCATCTATCTCATCTATCTCATCTATCTCATCTATCTAATCTATCTAAGCTATCTAAGCTATCTAAGCTATCTATCTATCTATCTATCTATCTACCTACCTATCTATCTGTCTATCTATCTATCTATCTATCTATCTTTTCTTATCTATCTTTTCTTATCTATCTTTTCTTATCTATCTTATCTATCTTATCTGTCTTATCTATCTTATCTATCTTATCTATTTTATCTATCTTATCTATCTTATCTATCTTATCTATCTTATCTATCTTGTCTGTCTTGTCTGTCTTGTCTATCTATCTATCTATCTATCTATCTATCTATCCATCATTCTATCTGTCTATCTACATATATATATATATATGGCCCAGCCCAGCAAACCCCCCCTCACGGTCATGGTCCCGTACAAACGCTGTATGTAGGAGTCTTGGTGTCTGATAATTTACTTGTCGCTAGCAAATATATTGTAGGGTCTACTTGACCCTGCCCCTTCCCCGCCGGATGGGTGGAGGCTAGGTAGTGTGTTGCTGGCATGTAAGGCAGTAAGTAGGTCGTATGTGGCCAGCATGTAAATGATCTAGGGTCTACTGTACCCCCGCCCCCTGTGGGGTGGGTGGGGGCTAGGTAATGTGTCGCTAGCACGCGAAACAAAAAGTACACAGGTAGTATGTGGCTACAATTACAATGCTCCACGCCCCCCTATGGGATGGGTAGGTGCTATAGAGGTATCATGTATATAGATAGTGTATCAGTGTATAGGCAGCACGTGGCCAGCACGTATGTATAGCACATGAGATCTTGATAGTAGCTAGCTGCTAGAATATGGCTACTATAAAGGTACTTCATGGGCAGTAATACGTTGTAAACAGATTGTATGGGCATATAGGGAGTAGTGAACACTGCATGGAGGTATCCTGTTACGTAGCGTATAGGTGGCACGAGGCATAGCATATTAGATCTTGACGGATGGTCGTGGATGGCCAGGCCACCCCCCTGGCGTGGTTGCTTGGGGGGGATAGCATTGGACGGGGAGTTGCCCGGAGCCCGGGGCGGGACCATGTATAGGGCAATGGTCACTTTTAGTGCATGGCCCCAAGTCATTTGTTTTTAGAGACGTGTGATCCTCTTCGGCTTTGAGAAACTGGAAAGTATGCTCTTGTTTCTTGTAGGTTTCCTTTATGTTTGGTTTTTTTCCGGCTGCACATGATTTTAGCACGGGATCAGAAAGCCACCCGACACTTTCACATCCAGGGAACCCCGTGAGATCACAGTATTGGAAGCACAAACCAAAAGATATTGAGGAAGAGGGGAATGTAATTGTAGCAATGCTGGACCTTGTTCTTCCCGCCAAGATGGTCCCTTGGCAATAACAACCATTAAAGCCAAAGATTGACATATAGGCTATAGGTGCTTGATGGTGTTTGATTGTCTCTCACGCAAATGGTGAAATCCTACAAGTACCGAATCACCTGCGTGATAAGGATTATTTGCACATCAGCAAATGTTATCGTGTTTTGGAGAGTGCATTTATCGTTTTCCAAGCACCGGCTCAATTTGAAAAAAATGCCGTGGTATCCCCAACAGCCGCAACGTTTTATTTTGCAAATCTTTCTGAAGCGTGCTGCGAAGCCAAGCGCTGGCAACACCTCAGGTGGGTTTCCGTGAATTAAAGCCGCAAATCCTGTTGAACCTGACCTGGCTCTGCACCAAAGCCTCCCAGACCTTCTCCGGAACCTTCTCCGGAATCCTCTTGAACCTGACCTGGCTCTGCACCAAAGCCTCCCGGTCCCGGACCCTTCTCTGGAACCGTCTCCGGAACCATTGAACCTAACCTGGCTCTGCACCAAAGCCTCCCACACCTTCTCCGGAACCTTCTCCGAAACCCTGTTGAACCTGACTTGAATTGGCTCTGCAATCTCTGCACCAAAGCCTCCCAGACCTTCTCCGGAACCTTCTCCAGAACCCTGTTGAACCTGACCTGGCTCCCAGACCTTCTCCGGAACCTTCTCCAGAACCTTCTCCGGAACCCTGTTGAACCTGACCTGGCTCTGCACCAAGCCTCCCAGACCTTCTCCGGAACCTTCTCCGGAACGCAATCTGACCTGGCTCTGCACAAAAGCCTCCCCAACCTTCTCCGGAACCTTCTCTGAAACCCTGTTGAGCCTGACTTGGCTTTTCACCAAGGCTTCCTGGACCCTTCTCCGGAACCTTGTTGAGCGCGACCTGGCTCTGCACCGAGCCTCCCAGACCTTCTCCGGAACCTTCGGAACCTTCTCCGGAACCTCGTTGGACTTGACCCGGCGGCTGCACCAGTGCACACCGGAGCTATTCTGGGCTGAAGGCCCCATTAGCTTACGCTGTTGGGGAAAAATAAAGGACCGGCTTCTTCCCTGGAAAAGCCAGGAAAGAGAAAGGACATGGTGGAAGACAGATTGTGTGAAAGAGCTGTGTGAGACAGATTTGTGTGAGACAGAGCTGTGTGTGACAGAGTTGTGTGTGTGAAAGAGTTGTATGTGAAAGAGTTGGGTGATGTTGGGTGTGACAATGACGTGAGAAAGAGTTTGTGTGTGTGTGAAACAGTTTGTGTGTGTGCGTGCAAGAGTTGTGTGCAAAAGAGCTGCGTGTGTGTGTGTGTGTGACAATGCTGTGTGTGAAAGAGTTGTATGTGAAAGAGTTGGGTGATGTTGGGTGTGACAATGACGTGAGAAAGAGTTTGTGTGTGTGTGCAAGAGTTGTGTGCAAAAGAGCTGCGTGTGTGTGTGTGTGTGACAATGTTGTGTGTGAAAGAGTTGTGTGTGAAAGAGTCGTGTGTGACAATGCTGTCTGTGAAAGAGTTGTGTGTGACAATGTTGTGTGCGAAAGAGTTGTGTGGGTGTGTGAAAGAGTTGTGTGTGTGTGTGACAATGTTGTGTTTTAAGGACTTGTGTGTGTGTGACGATGTTGTGTTTGAAAGTCGTGTGTGTGTGTGTAAGTGTAAGAGTTGCGCATGACAATGTTGCGTGTGTGTGAAAGTGTTTTGTGTGTGTGTGTGAAAGAGTTGTGTGACAAAATTGTGGCTGACAATGTTGTGAGAGAGAGTGGTGTGTGTGTGACAAAGTTGCTGGTGACAATGTTGTGTTTTGTGATCCCTATGTACAACTCTACTTTTAGAGGGGGGTGGTAATACATTAAAACTACTAAGTAGGGCTAAGAAGACTTAAATGATAGGGTTTCGCGCTTCATCCCAGAGCAGCAAAAAGGGGCAAACATAAGTTATCATAAGTTTCAATCCAGCATGTCCTTTTCCCTGGCCTCCCTGACGA